GCGAAACGTCAGGAGAAATGCCTCTAGAACATGGCCCTATAGCCCGAAAAAACCTACAAGAACCTAGTATAAGAATGTGACTGCACGAGGTCAGATGGCTTCAACGACTTTATTCCATAAAGGTGGCAAACAGACATAGAAGGAGGCTAATCACATTTGTTGGCAGTTCCTATCACACAAGGCAGTGCACAACCCATTGTCAATCTACCACCTCCCCACAACAAACCAATTCCTTGCTACTGATGTGCAAAGATTTTCAATAGTCCCTGATCATGCCGTGGTGCTGCAACTTAGCTGATGTGATGATCTCCAGCCACTTTTGTGTCAGCATGCTGGCACAGAAATGACATCAAGTGGTGGGATTGTCCTGCTCTCCTCCTCTTCCCCACTGTCTCCCATTAATTAAAACTGGAAATATTTTTAATGTCTGAAAACATCAACCTTACTGAAACAGCAAAGTTTTTTCTCAAAAAACAATAATTTTCAAAACTCACAAAGGAGCAGAACTACTGGAGGACGGAGTTTGCTCCCTAAAATGATATATGGGCATAGGACCATGGACAGGCAAAGTAGTGCTGTCATGTTACCACAAATACTTGCAATATTGAGAATGATGGTACAGTTAAGTTGCCAAAATTTGTAATTGTGTGGATGTGACAGGATGATAGCTTCATGTGATCAAGTTCCAAATGTTACCAGTTTTCTTTGAGGAAATGGGTTCTACTGATGAAGATTCATGTAACATAGTTGACTTTTAAAGTTTAACAAGACTGTTCGTTGTTCAGTTTCTTACACCTTTGAATCAGAGAATAAAGGAATCACAATGTCCACGTTCATCTATTTGCAACTATAACAATGTCAGAGATTGTCACATGTGATAACTTAAATGCATTTCTGCAAACACACAAACATATTGCAAAGAAATTCAAGGTGTTAGTATTGGTCATCTGCCAAAAAAGTAGCAATATAGCTGTAATGTATAAAATTGAAATGTATGCAATCAGTTTTGTGAGCAAGATAAAGGGCATGTCCATGCAAAGGTTTTACCTTGGATAATTAGCACAAATTAGCTAATAATTAACTTAATATTGGTTAAGCGCAGCACTTTCAAAGCCACAATACAGACACTTCATAGGGATTAAAAACAGCTTTTCAGAATTAAATCTGATTTAGCTGGGAGCAGGATTAGACTCCAATTAGGCACACTTAATCAGTAATGAAATACTTCCTTTAAGCAAACATTTAATCCATTTCATTCTTTTTTAATATATTCATTCTGAGATTAAACAACTCAAGTACAAAGTGCAGATTTGGTCACTTCAGAGACTTCAGGGCTCATCGCTCAATGGTTTCTTCTGAAGTCTTTAAAGATATTCAGATGTACTCAGAGTAAAGTGATAGAACAACACTAGAATAATTCTGGGGTAATGTGCCCATCATTTGCACCCCACAACATCCATCTTGGTATGTCGGTGCATATGGACTACCTGAAAATCCTTTCATTTTAGCACTGAGCCTGTTTTCAGATAGCTCAATTGTCTTGCATAGAATCTCAAACTAAAGGGAACTGTAAGATCAGTTTTCTTCCTTAGAAATTCAAACTAAAGGAAACTTTAAGCTGGTAAACTATGGCCTCCAAATGCTATTGTCCTAGAAGCCTGGTTGTCTCTGGAAACTGGTTGTGCTCCCTGAAGTTAGGAGGAGTCAAACAACATCTGGACAGCTACTGATTGCCCACATTTTGTTTTAGGGAGACTTCTGTGCCTTTTACAAGTGTATGGCACTCCCCTTCAGTCTCAGTAGTTCTTCCTTGTT